ATATATATATATATATATATATATATATATATATGAGATAAAAAATAAATGAACTAAAATATGTTTTAAATAATTATTTTAAAATATTACAGATTTTTTTTTTCTGTAGTTCATATACTGTTTGAGAAACATAGAAGAATAATGTATTTTACTAATGGACAAGATTTATTCTGTGTGATACAGAAGTTTGATTGATTGTGTTCCATAACCCTGACAAGCTTTATGAGTATGCTAACTTAATGTAGCATCAATTTCTTGTCTCTTCTTTCTATTCTTTTTTAGTTTACTTACTGTCTTTTTATGCCTTTATTATTACTATTCAAGACTAAGTATATAAATATAATTATATTTTGTTTGAAAAATGATAGTTAATCTAAAAAGAAGATAAAGTAAGAGATAGGTATTTTTTTTCTAATAGAAAATGTAACAGTATACCATCTTAGTTTACGTTTAATAATATCATACAAATTCATTCAAAAGATAAACATATAACATTAAGTTAATCTCATATTAAATGAAAATGCATAAATATTTATTCTAAAATACAGGGAATATTTATTAGTTACGTCTGTCAAAAAAACATGTTCGACAAAAGACAAGTCACATAATATTTTGCTAAAAAAGTTAAAGTTATTTTTCTTCAACAATCCCTTAAATTAATACTCAATTATGAAAGTATTGTTTACTTTGTACAACATTACAATTTAGAATCCAAAGATTAGAATGTTGAAGAAAAGGTAATTTCTTGAGGCGAAAGAAAAACACTACAAAAAAAAAAGCGGAAATGTTCAACGACCTCAAATAATTTTACAACTATTTTCTTTAGAGCATGTGTAAGACATTTCAAAAAGAAGAAAAAAAAGGAGAGATCATGCATGTTGTATATAGGACTAAAACATTACAAAACATTTAAGCCAACTTAGCTTCAAAGTATCATAGCGGCTGCAGTAGAATGATTAGCATCGAATAACAAACCAAGAGGGTTTTTAATACGAACGTGTGCCTTTTAATTTCTACTCAATTAAACTTATCAAGCAAATAAAAAAAATAGAGTAAGGTTGAGAGAAATTTGCACAGATGATTTTATCCTAATTCGGATCTTACCAATCCTACATCCAGTCGCTTATCTTAAATCAAGATAAACAATTTACTACTCACAAAACAATTACAAATTACAATCATAAAAAAACAATTTGTAAAAGTTTAGAAATCACCTCTCTTGTTACCCCAAGAGATGAAAGTCATTTCCCCTATAACCCACAAGGTATGAACACCTCCTCTGAATCTTCACAAAGGATGAACATCTCCTCTGAATGCTTCACAAAGGATGATAGGCTTTTAACTTAGCAACAACAACACTCAATCACACTCTCTGTGAAAGTTCTCGCTTTGTGCCAACACACCAAGTTCTCAAAGTCACAACACAAGGGTTCAACAAACCATAGAACACTTATCACCGCACACTACAGATAAGATTTTTCAAAATACACTTATTTCGTATTTTGTATTTCGTATTTTAGAATGAGAGTCTCAATCTAATTTATAGAGATATCACTCAACGATACATCCAAAAATATCAATTATCCAATTTTGATAATTAATTATGCATTTAATGAATGCACAGTAAAAAAAACTTCCAACCTAAGACAAACAATACATAGAATCAAATCTAAACAACATCTTATACATAAATCTACTACATTATAGAAGCTTTAATATAAAAACAAGTCTTCATGAAGATCTTCCTCCAATAAGAGCACTTGATACTTGAGACATCATCAAAATTTCTGCTCTTTAGCTTTATGCTAACACAAAGAAGATCATCATTTATGTTCAATAAGCAAGCTAGAGGAGAATATCAAATCCTCCATACATAAATAAAAGATCAACCTTTCTAATAAGCAACTTGTGATCCTTGATCACTAATTTCTACAATTATCTTATTTTAGTGAGTTGTAATTGTTAGACAAAGAATATTTAGTTATTAGTCAAGTGGTTCTTGTTCAAAGAATTCGTTTAAGAATAAAAGTGATTTTTTGAAATAATTCTTATCAAATTAGTAGGGATTATAGTGGAAGGGCCCAACCAACTTTAAAACATTTGAAAAAAAAAACTAAAATCACTAAAATATTCATATTTATAAGAAATTTAAAACCTAATAATACATATTTTACTTTTTCATGTGGACATATGTAAACAATGATGATGCAAAGTAACACTCACACCACACTAGTTGACATCAAAATTAAATAACAAATACTTAATTGAAAAATTACAAATATTTTATAACCAATAAAATATGTTTTTTTTATAAGAAATCAATTAAAAATATTCTTAAAACTTTCTTAATCTCATGTTTGACTAGGAGAATCTATGGTAACAAACGTGTTACTAAACAAGTGAGGATTAGCTGTCTTCAAATAACGTTAATAGAGAAAAATAACATTTTCGAAAACCATTAAAATAAAATAACATTTGATAACTCATTATATTAATAAAACATTGATATCTTAATTTAAAAAATTAAAAAAATAATTAAAATATTTAAGTTATTTTATTTTTAATGAATTGCCAAATTATCATATCTTACATTGTCTGCGGAAGTTACTAAGGAATACCACCTTGCTGAGGTCTGGATAGCAACAATAACACTTAAATTGAATTTTAGTTTCTATCATTTTATAAATACGTTTTGATTTGTAACAAAAAAATATTATATATTTATTCTTTTAATTTTTCAAAATTAAATTCTCTTCTAACTGAAAATATTTATGTATGAGTAATCGTTAGTTACTTATTATCCTAAAATTTAATAGAAATCCTTTCAGAAAAATGTAATAGCAGGGTTTAATAATAGACTTTAATGTTAATTATCAAGCTAGGTACATTAATATTTTTTAAAATTAGCTGATCCATTAATGTTGAACTAAATCTGTTTAATTTTGAAATGAAAAGATAAAAATATACTTACCAATAAATTTTATAAAGATCAAAATTGCAAACATAATTAGCTAGAAAACTAAAAATAGATTTAAGCCTAAGAGAAAATTCAAGTACCATTATGTCTGAAAAATATAAGAGAAGTTTGTTTGTTTGTTTCAATAAATGAATGGTTGAAAAAGGAGATATATTAATGTTTGTTTGGGCGGATACTAATTGATTTGTGATTATGGAATGAGGGAAAAGGACAAAAGAGTGGCAGTGGGAAAGAATAAGAAAACAAAAAACGTTTATATATTCCTTTTATTGCATTGAGACATGTTATTCTTATAAGAACTTCTCCCCTTTCAAATTGTTTTGCTTTCACCTTTGTTTTTTTCCTCCATTATGATATCCTACACTGGCCTGGGTAGTAAACTAAAACATGTTTACATTATATCATCTTATCAGTATTCAATCACATAATTGATTAAGACAATAATTAATAACAACATGAAAACTATAATTTAATAACTTATAATAATAAAGATAATTTTATCACGTTATAAATATATTATTTTTTAATTCTTTTAAATGGACTTTGTTTATTAAATCTTCAAAAGTTTTTTCATCGTTTCTCTTCATTTTTCATTCTCTTCTCATTAATCTAAACTTTGATAAAACATAAATATGAAAAAAGTATTTTTTGAAATCTTATGTTACATATTTATTAATTATTAGGTTTAATATCACTTTTTTTCTTTTTTTAATTGATTTTGTTATACGTGATATTGTGTTCCATTATGATATTGTGTTCAATTTTGTCTTTTTTCATAATATTGTCTAAATATTTAATGACATATTATCACTATATGCCACATGTCAATTTGTGATTTCTTTTAATTTTTTTAATTCTTTTTAAAAATTAATAATTATTTTAGATTTTTTTCTTAATTTAGAAGAAGTTATTCAAATATTAAGTGAATATTATGCCACGTAGCAATATCAGTGTTATGTGTCAGTCAATGTCAGTGTTATGTGTCAAGTGTTATTATCATGTGTCAGTGTCTTATATTCAATTCATTCTTAATTTTCATTAATTTTGTTCAATTTATTACCAATTTTTATTAATTTTGTTTAATTTAGTCATAATTTTGTCCCTCTTTAAATTGAGATTGAATTTATTTTTTATTAAAATTCACATTTTTATTAAATATTTTTTCATCATTTTTAAACCAACTCTAACTATATTATTAGAATATATTATTAAATTTATGTTTTATTTCTTTTACATAAAAAAATTAAGATTAGAGTTAGTTTAAAAATAATAAAAAATTTATCTTCTAATTTTAAAAATAATAATGAATTTTCATTTAAATTTTAAAAATAAATTAGAATTTTCATTCTAAGTATTGAATTAAATTAGAGTATTTCTTCTAATTTTAAAAATATTAAAGAATTTATTTTATAATTTTAAAAGCAATGGCAAAGTTTTTTTTTCTAATTTTACAAATAAAGAAAAAAATTTCTTCTAATTTTAAAAATAATGAAAAATTTTTGCTTTCGATTTTAATAATAATGAAAATGTTTTCTTTTAATTTTAAAAATGATGAAGAATTCTTTATCTAATTTAAAAAATAACGAAGAGTTTTCCTCTCAAATTTAAAATATGAATGGAATAAAATGAACAAAATTTGAGATTGAACTAAAAAAAAATAAAAACTAAGAATGGAATACACATATACTAACGTGGCCGTAACACCAAGATTGTCCCATAACACAATATTGACTTTGACTTAAAATGTGAATAAAAAAAGTTGATAAAAAATTAAAATAATCACCAACTAACACATGACAATAATTTAAACGATATTATAAAAAAAAAAACAAATTAAATATAAATTACGATCATTCTGAAAAAATTAAATCTCACATTAAACAAAATTAACGACTGAAAATAAGGAAAAAAAATTATATGAAGCCTAATTATTGTAGCAAAACCACAAAACTCGTGTATATCAAACTACTACACTTTT